GAGGAATCGTACACGCACAAAATGTGCGTTCGGTGAAATATTGTCGATGAACTTATCGTTTGTTAATTTTACTTTATAAACATCTTCAGAAAATACGTTTAACAACTTCCACTTATATGAAAATAATAAATAACGTGTTTATAGAATTGTTGACATGGAAAACATTAAATATGCAATATTCACAAATACTAGTCAAACGATCTGGTAATAAAAATGACGTTGACTAGTAAAGGGTATAATGTGTTAATAGCGTTATTAAAAAATATATTAATACTAATAATAAATTACCTGCTAAAAACAACGTTTACATGTCCTAAAAACTATAGTTATGTTATAAAAGAATTTAAAACAGATTTTATATGTAATAATCTTTGGCTGATAAAAATATTTTATTACCAACATTCTCACTCTTTAATTAATAAAAACCCGAAAAAAACAACAAATCAATGGAAATAATAAACCTCTATATCTAGATGTTGTTCCACATTTTATTGTCTAGCTTGAACTTTACTTATAATCATCACAACAATACAAAACACTAAGCACAAGGAGTAAGCTATTATTTTCTTTAAATGCGAATGAAAAGCTAATATTACAAAAATAATATGTTACTTTTAAACTTTAAATAATATTTTAATTAAAAAGCTTTCCAGAGAAGTTAAAAATATACATTTGCGTGCACTTTATTAATTATTAATTAATTAAAAATTTGAAATTAACTTGCGAGGGAGGGCAAGTTAAGTTTCACAGCACTTAGGCCACAATTTTATTAACCCATTGTGCATGTAATATATATGTGCATCCTCCCAGGCAGTGCCGGTTTAACACAGTCTGCCGCCCGGTGATGATACGGATGCCGCGCCCAGACTCAAAAATATTTCTTAACTTTATTTCAATTCAACAAAACATATTTTGAATAAAAGTTTATTAAAATAAGGAAAACAATTACAACTTTTTTGGGTTCCAAACTGAATACTAACAAAATGCAAGAAAAAAATTAAGGGCGAATTTCAAAAGTAAAATAAAAATGTATGTACCTAATAACATTTATACAAAACATGTAACATGAGGTAGGTAATCAAATACCTTTACTATTGAATAGTTTGTTTTCTTGTTTTTACTGAAGCGAAGTTTTTGATGTTATCATTTATGTTTAATTCATTTAGAAAGTCCTCGTTAATGGATAAAACTGCTAAGAAGTTCAAATTTTCTTGGGAAATTGTATTTCTTAAGAAGGTCTTTAACCTTTTTAGTGTCGAAAGATAGCGTTCGCCACTTGCATTTGCGACCATTATGGAGAAAAAAATACGCAGGCAAATATTAACGTTTGAAAACGAAGATATTAACTTATTTTCGTATTAAACCTGTACCAATTATAAAGGAGTGTCTATTTTTAATTGGGGAATAGACGTTAAACAATGCTTTAAATAATTGTCCCTTCTCTTCTTGAGGAAAATACTCATCCAAATTTTTCTTGTATTTTTGTTGTAAGTAATTCGGTTGCCGATCTGAAAATATCTTTTTCTTCCGTAGTTTTTAGTTTAACCTAATTGCAATTTTTTTATGATTCTCTTCTCAGCATAATTTTCGTTCCCTGTTAACAACAGTCCTAAGGCCTCGTAGTGATCAAAACGATCATGTAAGAAATTAAAGTAATCTGTTAAAGATGATAACAGATGAACGGTTCTATTTTTCTTTTGTACTGCTTAATTAACCTTATTAACCCTTTGTAAAATGTCAAGCCAGAATGATAAAATTATTCCGTTTTTCAACAAATCAAGTTTTTCCGATAGAGAATCTGCTTAAACTCTTACATTTTTCTCATTTATATCCGTTGACATTTTAATCAAACATATTTTAATCAAACCCTAATTGCTTTTTTAACGCTTCTACGGTGTCAAAACGACACTCTTTCACTCTTTTAGGTAACAGTGTCTGCCCCGAATCCTTTATTGCGCGAAACAATAACTCCCACCTGTATGTAGACACGCAGAAAAAATTCTAGATAGCACGTACCAACATAAAAAAGATGTTGCTTCCAAACAACAATATGCTGCATTTTGGACAACCAAATTTAAATAGTGAGCAGCACATGTCACAAAGAGAGATAAAACATTGTAAACTTTAATACGTGCTTGCAAACCAGAATACTTGCCATTCATATTACTGACATTCCTCAAGTTCTTGTGAGCTACGCCCAGTGTTTTTATAAAATTCCATGAATATTTCCACGGGATTCCCTTTATTGTTACAATATCTCAAAATCACTGTAAGTCGGTCATGGTATGTTATGTCAGGTATTGAATCTACACTTATAGAATAGTATCTGTTTGACTTCATTTGCTTAACAATGTCATCAATAATTAGATTGGATAAAATATTTAGTAATTCGTTACGTATATCTTTTGATAGATATATGACGTTGTGCCCTTACCTAAATTTGCTCGTTTATTAATATGATCTTTTAAAAACAGATCACATTCTGACAATAGTTCCAGAAAACCTAAGTAGTTTTCATTCCGTTTTTCGCCATTTCTTTAATGAATACATCTAAATTCCAATTCTCTGGCTGCCAAAAACTTTATTACACCTATAATTCTTTCTAGTTCTTTAACCCAATATTCTTTCGCAGTGCCAATTTCCTTTTCGAGTTCTACATCAACGCTTCTTTGCTTTAATAAGTGAGTCGTATAAATTTTCAAGTTATCTATATGATTATTGAATCTTGCATGTTCGTCAAATCTTTCCTTACTTTTATTCCATAATAAAAATCCTGTTTTAAATTGGTTTTTTTTTCAACTAAGATACAATAAAGGCAAAATATATTAACCAGTTTTTTATAAAATATTTGCTTAATAGCATACCTGTTTTGTTCGCCGAAATTTCTTTTTGACATTGAAACGTCCATATCTGTAAGATTCTAATCGAACCATTTTTCTAGAATCATTTCTGCATAAATATGGCAATCTTGCTGTGCTGGATCTTTAAAGTTAAAGTTTAAAGGTACGCTTCGCGCTTACCGCCCTGGAACCTTCAACCGCTTGGTGCTACAGCCCCGAAAAGACCCCTGGTTAAACCGGCGCCTTAGCTCATTGTCCATCGTGCCATTTCTATGAAGGTAGACAAGTCACAAAACAGTTTAAAACTATTTAAAAATTAATCGAAGCTACATTATTGTCGGCAACAGGAGAGAGAATATGTCCTTGAATTTGTCCTTATTTAGTGCAGTGTTATGTACAATTTTATGTTTAACTTCATGTTTATTACATTCTGCGCTTGTTGGATAACCCAAAATTGACGAAATGCCCCTGATGATGCTTTAGAAAGCGAAAGCGATATCTGCCTTTCATTTTATCAAAGTTCATTTATTCGAGCATTCAACCTTACATTAATTTAGGTATTTTAAATTATTATCACTACAGCTGTTTCGGCCAGAGTGCCTTGGTCTATTTTTGGTATGTGTTTACACTTTATAGTCTTTAACTGAATAGGCTGAGGACGGGAAAACTGTTTGTCTCAAGTTGGTCATTCAGAATTACCTATGTCTGTATTTTTTAATTTGTTGATTTCCTTAGATGCTAATAAAGATAGCCTTTATAAAGATAGGCCTTTAGTTTAAATGTGAAGAATTTGAAACAAATTCTTTACATTCCAAAAATAGATCACTTGAGAAAAGCACTCCGGATGAAACAGCTGTAGTGATAATAATTTAAAATAAATTTTGTAGAAATGTTGAAAACAAAAGTTTTTAGTATTGTATTGTTAGATTTATTTTTCCGTATATATTGTCAAAGTCTCTTTGAGAATTTGTTCTTAATTTATTTGTAACAGAAAAGCAAATGTTCACAACCAATACATTTAAAGAAGAAAAAACATAAATATAGTTATATAAAGAGTGTATAGCGATAACATCGGGGGAGTTAGCCAGTAAGTAAGTGGTTAAAAAAAAAACACCTTGATAACTATTCATACCATATCTCGCCATACTTCTTAGGAAGAGGGAGAAGAAAAAATTGGAAAGATTGAGTACAGAAATTAAAATAAGAATGAATCAATAACAAATTGAAGAGTATCACTTAAAAGGATAAGGAGAAGTCTGCAACATTAAGATTATTAAATGAACATCAATGCCAATGTAGGATAATGTTCCTTCTCAGATTTTAAATGTTGTGTAGGTACAACTCTGGCTTTCTCTTAAATAATATAATTAATATTATTACGAACCCCCTCTGTGGCTCAGTGGTAAGAGCGCCTACCTTTAAATCTAAAGGTCGTGAGTTCGAATCTCATCTGGGTGGAGAAATTTTCGTTTATTAAAAATTAATAAATGAAAATAATTTCTATCCTTGTGCGATCGGTACTCACCGGAGGGACCGCAGACGTTCGGATACAATTAGCGTCTCTTAGCAAAGACGCTAAGACGTCCACTTTGCTAAGTATCAAGACAATTACTCTACACACACACACACACACACACACACACGCGCGCACACATACACACACTACACTAGGTACCTGACTGTACCATGCCAATGATCTTAGTTGTCGAGGCATTAACTCAATAATAATAAAATATTATTTCGTACTATGTACATTGTCGTATTGTATAATTTTCTTAAAATGTAAATTATTTAAATTTTATGAACATTATCTTTTAATTCTTCGTAGTCATAAATATTTTTATTACCAATTGAGTAGTTAGTCAAGTATTCAAATTAGCATATATCTCATATGTGCAATTTTTGTTTTGTATTGTCATGAAAACTTAAACCTAATATCCTTATTGTTCATCAAGTCATAAACTTCATGGTTACTCAAAATAATTACAAGTAAAATACTTATACCTATTACTTTATGAGCTATTCGGATATACCTAGTATAGTTTCTCCAAATATTTGTTTTTGGTGTTGTCCGTATTTGCAAACCATTAAAATCGTGGATAAATAAATACTTACTTCACAACACATGATTAGTAAATAAAAGATCAAAAACTTAACTACCATTCTTTTCGGAGTGTGCTGCCTGCCTCCTTAAGTCCGATCTAGTACAGGCTATCAGGATTGTCCCTAGGACTAAAGCGATACTGGTAGATATATTCGCCCATTGATCACTAACGTTGTTTAAGATGATAGAGTAGATGTTGGTAAATGCGATTCCAAAGAGATTGCAAGCGCAGTTTAGGAGACCTGCCGATGTACCTTCTGGGGCTGGGTAGGTAAGTTCTGCTGCCAATTCGAAGCCTACAGGTAAAAGTCCAGTCATAAAAAATCTGAAAATAATATAACACAAGATTTAATAAAAACGTAAAATTACAACGTATTTGTTCAACAATGTAAAAAGATTTATTATGCCAAAGCGATATAAATATTCAGAAATAATACACTACCAAGCATAAAATTAGGGTCACCCCGTAATTTGAATTTATTTTAGAAATTATTATTCTGTTTTTCTTTTTCGGTTGCACCATAGTTTACTAACGGATTGCTTATATAAAACAACGTTTTTGTCTTTTAAAGTTTATTAAAATTAATGGAAATGAAGAATTTTCCTTTGATATATTAAATATTGAAAAGGGACAATTTTAATTCGATTTGCGAAGAAATTTTAAGAACTTCAGTATCGAGTATTCCCTCCCCTGGAAGTGATAACAGCTTGCAAACGACGAGGCATGCTTTGGATCAGATTTTGGATCACATTCTGCGGAAGATTATTCTTTTCTTGTACCAATATGTCGCGAAGCTCTCTCGAATTTCTGGGAGCCGGCACATGACTCTGTAAACGTCTCTTTACCAAACATGTTCTATGGGATTGATATCTGGACTGCGAGCAGGCCAAACAAATCGTGTGATTTGAACCTCTTCAAGATACTCAGTAACTATCCTAGCAGTGTCGGGCCGTGCATTATCATGCATAAATGTTGCATCGTCACCAAGAATAACCATAAATGGTAAAACATGGTCTTCCAGAATCTGTGGCAGGTACCTATACGCTGTCAATGTCCTATTCTCGATAAAGACTAACTCCGTGCAAGCATCAAACGATATGCCTCTCCATGCCATAACTGACCCTTCACCAAATGGAAGACACTCGGCAACACATGCTTGAGCATATCTCTCGCCTAGACGTCGCCATACTCTTACACGTTTGTCTGAGCCTGTAAGACAAAATCTCGTTTCATCGGAAAACAATACACGACTCCAATCCTGCATTGCCCAAACCAAGTGTTCTCGTGCAAAATTCAATCTGGCAATTCGGTGTTCACGGGAAAGCGGCGGTCCAGTTACCCTAGTTCGAGAAGATAAACCAGCAGCATAAAGTCATCTCCTAACTGTCTATTCACTTATGTTTACATTTCTCACTTCTTGCAGATGATTTCGAAGAGAAACTGCCGTGACCGTCCGATTTCTCAAAGCACTAGAAACGACAAAGCGGTCATCTCTAGCTGTTGTAATCCTGCCTCGACCTGAACCAGGTCTTCAAGTAAGCAGACCGGTCTCTTCGTACCGTTGCTCTACTCGTTGCACACTCGAGAGACTTTCTGGCACTTTCGCGCTGACCTAGGCCATCGTCTAACGCCGCCACGAACGAATTTATGCTCATTGCAATACATTGACAGTGATAACAATACACAAACAATTTACAATTGACGTTAAAACCATAGGAACAAAAACTGTGCTGATAACGGTTTTTAGGAATTAGATTAAGGGGTCCTTTTTATCTCAAAAGCTTGTCGAAACAACAACGACAACCAAAAATAGTTAAAACAGAATAATAATTTCTAAAATAAATTCAACTTACGGGGTGACCCTAGTTTTATGCTCGGTAGAGTATTTTAGTAAAAAATCAGTCTAGTAGTATAAGTCTAGTAGTATCATGACACTTAGTAATACAAAATATAAACGTCAAATTTCAGGTTTGAATAAGTAAATTCGGTCTGGCAAATCATTGCATATCAGTATCATATCATTTAATTTATACGAATCAAAATCAAAACGTAATATCAAACGTACGTCATCGATGTGAGAATTAGAGTATGTTAAATTAATTATTAGAGGTAACATTATTAATTAGAGTTAAACCTATTAAAGCTAAAGCTAAGCATAAACATACTGTTGTGATTTGTCTACTTTCTACAACATAAGTAGAGAGCCAGACGTTAGAACTAGTTATAAGTATGAAGACTTATAGCTAGTATTTATGTATATTCAGCAACGAATATACATAAAAAGCGAACAAAACTTAAGCTATCAATAGTTCAGGTTCCGTCAAGGATTGGGGACAGAAAGACCCTCTTTAGTCTTACAGTGCTATTACAAAAATGCAGAAATCAGCCAAAAGATGTTTATTTGTGTTTCATACGAGATAACGAGACATCAATTTTATTAAAATCTTATTGAATACAGGCAGCCTCAGTAAAAATAGGCGAAAACCTGTTTAGTAAATTCCCCATAACAAGGGAAGTGCTCCAGGAATGTGTTCTGTCACTTCTTCTCATCAACCTTCATTCAAGAGCGCCCCGTATAGGGTATAGTCCCCCCATTCCGGCGCGTCCCCGGGTGGCGGATAGGAGAATGCCTCCCAGATATGGGTGGTAGCGAGGAAATGAAATACCCGACGTGGACCAAAACTAGCAAAACAGTAGCGTCTGATCCAGAGTGGACGACTACGAACAGCGTCTGACCAAGAGTGGGCAGCTGATACAGAATTCTCCAACCCGTCTGGCAAGCGAGGTGTTTTAATGCCAAAAAACCGTCTTCAGAAAGCATGTCGAATTATGAAACAAACGGAATAGGACCCCAGGTGGGTAGAGTTACTAACTCGGAATCCCACATCGGGAAACCGGTTCGCCTCAAGGATTTTGGAGGAGACAAATATTCGACAAAAATAAATTTATGAACGTATAACATCAGATCCATGAACGAAGATACAAAAATCCACGAATTAGAGGAACAACTGACAAAAATACAGTGGGATATTATCGGCATATCCGAAGTAAGAAGAAAAGGAGAACAAAAAATACAGCTAAAATCAGTACATTTGCTATACTATAAAGGTAATGTAGAAAACAGTAACAATTAAGTAGGATTTATAATAAATAAAAAAGTAGTTAAATATATACAATCTACCAAAAGCATATCAGATAGAGAAGCATACACGACGTTTAAATTAAAAAGAACGTCCTTAAAAATCATACAGGTGCACCCTCTAACAAGTACCACCTACAGCAATGAAGATATTGAACATTTTTACGAAGACATAACAACAGCTATGGAAGAAAAAAAAATCAAAATTAACGCTAATAATCGAAGAATTCAATGCCAAAATATGAGCATAACTATATAAAGAAGAAGATAAAGTAGCACACCATGGATACGGCAAAAGAAATAATGAGAACACATATTGATGAATTACTTGGGAGTAGAAGCAACTATATGTAATGAATAAATTCTTTAAGAAAAACCCCCAAAGAAAATGGACATGGATTAGTCCCAATGGTGAAACCAAAAACGGAATTGATTATATTCTTTTAACGAAAAAATCCATGTCACCCAAACTATTCAATCAAGCTTTGATGAACAATGATGAACAATGGGAAAAATGGGGTATTAACATAAATGGCCAATACTTGAATCACTTGAGATATGCAGACGACATTGCATTAATAACAGATAAAAGGGAAGAATTACAAAATATGATGAGTGAAGTAAATAGGGAATCAACAAAAATAGGTCTACAAATGAATTATAATAAAACGAAAATTATGACCAACCAACCAGAAGAATTAATAATTACAATTGCACAAACAACTTTAAAACAAGTAAAAGAATATGTATATTTGGGACAACTAGTTAAATTAAATAAAGAAAATCAGACCGGAGAAATGAAGAGAAGGATACGGTTGGCTTGGGTATCCTTCGGAAAACTTTCCTATATACTAAAAAATAGAAAATACCCTAAATATTTAAAACCAAGAGTCTTCAACCAATGTATACTTCCTGTTCTCACCTATGGTTCTCAAACTTGGACGTTTACATGTCTCCGGAGGCGTGTTAGTCAGAAGCTGACAGCCGTGCCGGACGCATCAAGAAATTTGGAGATTGGTCCAAATACTTGGAAATTCCAAGTTTGGCCAAATCCGAATTTCTGATGGGCTCGATGAGGAGGAAATTCCACTTGTGCTGTGTAAAACAAAGGATTTGTTTTACATAAAAGCAGGTGGATTTTCTCTCATCAGTCAGTCGAGCTTGCCTCTTCTACTGTAGACCTAGTCGGTGCTATTATTGTTCCGATTAAGCTATTGTTTTATTTCTGATTTCCTGTATACCATTTTTATTTTAGCATTATTGTATATTCAGACCTTTTCAGGTTAGAATATTACATATTTGTTCATGAACTGATTGTTTGCTATTTTATTTGATTATTTTTGATCGTTTATTTTCTTGTATTTGTATCTAAGCTGTTCTTCCGTAAGTTAGGACCACATAGAAATCTTGCTTTTTCCTATTTTATATATTTGACTGTGTACTTTGTATCTAAGTCGTTCTTTTCCGGTAAGTCAAAAGAACACTTAAAAATATTTTCATATCGCATTATTATTTCTGATATTTTATCTAAGATATTTTCTTCCGTAAGTTAAGAAAATACTTAATATATTTGTCTATTTCATTTTTTTCCATTTTATGCTAAGTTGTTTCTTCTGTAAGTCAAGAAACACTTAGCAATATTTCCACATCTTTTCTGTATTTGATTTTCTTGTTTTCTATTATAAGTTGTTTTTTCCGTAAGTCAAGCAACACTTAGAAATATTTCCATATTTTATTCTCAGATTTACATATTTCATTTATCTAGATTTCTGTCCTAAGTTGTTTATTCCGTAAGTCAAGAAACACTTAGAAACATTTTTCTTTGCAATATATTTTTATACCATTTAATTTACTTGTTTACTAAGTTATTCCTTCCGTAAGTCAAGGAATACTTAGATCATTTTTACCTATCTGTTTTCCATTTTTGCTCTGTTACTTTGTAACTGTTCTTTGGAACCGTTACCTATAACAGATATTTGTCACTGGAACTGTTATTTATAACAGCGGTGGTATTTAACCTTTCTACCAGCGACAAACCAAAGATGGTGAATACCCGATCCAATTCCGGGGATAGGAAGAAGCCCGAAGAGCCGGCGATGGGTCCCTCATTCTCAAAATGCCCTCTCTCGGCAACATACAAAGGAAAACATGGAAAAAATAGCAAAGACCCAAAGAGCCATGGAAA